TCCAAAAACCTATCTGTGTGGGAAAGATGAGCCTGGGAGGGAACCCACTTCCCCTGAACGTCTCCTCTCAGTCGGCAGCAGAGCTAGATGGATACTTTCTCACCACTCGCTTTTCAGGCTTATGCTCCTTTATCCCACCCAAATGCCAGGGTGCAGAAATCCATGGGCGATGTTTGCAGGCAGGGGTGTGGCTGGTTCACCGGCTGGATGCCGCACAGTGGTGGCTGGCAGGACCGGATTGTGGACACTGAAGTCCGCCTTCTACCACAGCTCAGCACTCTCAGCTTCTCCACAGGGGTCAGGCAGGCTGTTTATCCGAATGCCTTACCCATCTTGACAGTCTGCCTTGCCCTCAGTAAGCCAGGATTAGCCAGCAGGTGTCTTGGGGGACCCGGAGCTGCCCATCATTCGGGACATTTGGACATGTATGGGGTACAGGGAGGGGATGGGTGGGAGCAGGAAGATTGGACCAGCAGTGAAGGAGTTAATGGCCTGTTTGATCCAGCTCCCAGGGCAGGGGCTTAAATTGGCTGTGGTGGGGATGGGGATGAACAGTGATGGACTCCTCCAGCCCTCCAGGGCTCCCTCCCTCACCACCCCCAGCAGGCTCGGAGGCCATGGGAGCGAGGCCAGGAGCGGGGCCCGGAGGCTGGAGGTCTGCGTGCCCCTGACCAGTCATTTGGGCAGGTTGTTGGACCCCAGAGGCCTTGGTGTCCCCAGCGGCAGCACAGTGGCTCTGATGTATAACATGGTCCTCATGTTCCTCTAGGTTTGGCACTAAAGCTCGCCTGGGAGTGGTGATGGCTGTGGGAAGGCCCTTCTGGAGCAAACAGGCTCAGGAAGATGAAGGCCTCTCACCAAGGTCCGTGGCTTCGCCCGCGGGGCAGCGCCGGAGCTAGAACTAGGGTCTGTCTGCCTCCACTCTCTGCTCTGCTCTCGCCAGTGTGCTTTGGATGTGACCTGCTTTCTCTGGGTCACCAACATACATGCCCCTGGGCTCATGACCCAAGTGACCCAAGTGGACAACAGGAGTTGTATTTGGAGCAGGAGAGGCTTTTTGAAAGATGGCACAAAAGTCAGAAATCACAAAGAAAAGGATTGATAGATGTGACTACATTAAAAATCAATACCAGCTTCTACAGTGGTTCAAAAGTTATCCAAATACAAAGAAAAGACAAATAGGGGAAAATATTTGTAATATACATATAAAAGGACAAATATCCATAATACACATGAAGCACTGAAACTATAAACATCACCACAATAAAAAAGATGTGATGGAAGATGCACGGAAGAAGAAATGTGAGTGTGCAATACTGTGCACACACAACAGGAACGTCCTTCCACGGGATTTTACACGGCTATTAAAAACGTTTCCCAGAGCTATGAATCGAATAAAACTGATCTGGTTCCTTCTCGGGACTCCCCTGTGCACTCCCTGGATCCCCAAATGCAGCCCGAATGAGCTTCAGGAACCAGCTGGCAGGTTAGGGACCCCAGGTCAGGCCCGCCTGGCACATGATTCTGAGCGTAGAGACTTAAAGGGAGAGGAAGAGGTCGAAGGGAGGAGCCAGTGCCGGGAAGGAACCACACGCACCAAAGTCACGGGTAAGGAGGCAGAAACCACACTGGGGTGCGGGCACCCCTAGCTATTCGGTTTATTTGATCTAAGCGTGTAACTGCAGAGGGCGTTCCAGGTGAGCAAGAACCAGTGTGCCTTTGGGCTTAGCTCTTCCTGATGTCATTGTCAGGAAGTGGCACAGCTAAGGGCATGGGCTCAGCCTTACCAGCGAGCAGAAGTTAAGGGAGCCCTTATGCTGAACTGTTTGCATTTCTTTGCACTGAGATTCTAGTCCCCTCCTGAGGGTCTTGCTGCTTGTCACAGTTATTTATTAAGCACCTTCTATGTGTCATGCCCTGTTCTGAGGGCTGGGGATACAGCAGTGATCAAAGCAGACAAAAACCCATTTTCTCCAAGAGTTGGAAGCACCTGTGGCCCAGGGCAGGGGACTAGACCAGGGCTGGGAGGGTGTTGGGGCAGGGGGAAATCTGTACTGCCAGGGCAGCAGCCTGGGAATCTCCTGGAAGATCTGGGAGGGTGACAGTGAGCCATCTCAGCAGGCTCTCTGAGCCTCTGTGACCCCAGCAACAAGAGGGCAGAAAGCCCTTTCTGCACTGTGGAGAGTACTATACCCAGTTCAAGTTACGTTTCCTTCTGGGTCATGAGGAGGATGGGCAGAAACAACCAGGTAAAGGTGGTAGGAGTTGATAACACCTGCAGGCGCACCTCATTTCAGTTCCCATGTGGCCCAAAATATAGGACACCTAACCTAGGAGAACCACAGAGACCACCTCACTCCCCATTTCACAGCTGTGAAAACTGAAGCCCAGGGAAGGGGAACTTCTGACATGATTTGGGAACAAACAAAACAAGGGGCTTGGAAGGAGAGATGAGTTTATGCAGGCGTGTGGCCTGCACACCCAGGCCTTACCTTTTTCTTTTTCCATCCCATCCTCTTGGGGACAGGAGAGTCTGGCCTTGTTTGAGAATCTTGGGGACCAGTGCCTGGTATTGGTGGGTGAGCAGTTGTCAGTCCTGCGCAGTCAGCTGGCCTGGGCACTTGGAGTCTTTGGGGTGGCAGTTTGGATTGTCAGTGTGGTCTCAGAGCTCTGGGACCCAGACAGGGAGTCCCAGACAATGGGGTCAGGGGGGCAGGGGAGGCAGGGTCGTGGGGCTTTCTCAGCAGCGAGACATTCTGTGAATGGAGGTGCCGTGGGGGCTCTGGGCCATGGGCAGCTGGGTAGAGGTCAGCAGCTGGGCAACCAGCTTTTGGCACCAAACAGAAAAAGGAAGGTAAATACAAGGCTGCCCTCTCTCTGTGCAGACCTGGAAAAGTAGTGCCCTTTTCCACCCAGCTGGGTCACCTGGCAACACCGTGTGATGTTACAGGGCAGAGCAGAAGTCACGCAGACCGCAGTGGGGGACCCAGGAGCCCCTCCTGGAACTGGGTCCTACTGCTTCCTGGCATCCTGTCCTCATCCTTCCTGCCCTTGGTACCCCAAACAACCCAGCAGCCGAGATGCACACCCACCCTGAGTGCTCAGTCCCATGTGGGTAGGGAGGAGACCCTGCAGGCAACGAGGAGACCCAGACGCTGTGCACAAGCAATGTGCACCTTGGCTGGCAGACTAGATATTTCTGCTAATGAACCTGCAGCCATGCCTCTTTGGGATCCTACAGCCTTTCATTTGTTTAATAGTAATTATCAAGTTCAAGGGAATGATTTTCTCTTGCAGATGGAGGAGAGAATGGAGAATAAGTAGATACGTTATTGTAACCTTGTTTCTTAGATTGGGTGGTCAGTTAATGGGGGATCATTATATTATCGAAAGTTAATTGTAAGTAACTAAAGAGGGCTGTGTATGGGTCAGAAGAGGCTCTAGGGTGTGGATATGGACCCAAGATTATGACTTATTCTGGGCTCCCCAAGAAATTAGTGCAAAGAACAATTCTTTTTATTGAGCGCTTACTACATGCCAGGTGTGGTTCTAAGCGCATTTATGTGTGGTGAGATGGCAGAATGGGGAGCTCCTGGTTCCTGGTCTGGGGTGGGGTGCACCCTCTGGGGAGGTGAGGTCCGAACTGGGCCTTGAAGGATGACGAGGAGCCCTAGGCCTGGCAAAGGTGACACTGTCCTGGGTGGGGTTGAGAAGTGTCTGGAAGACCCCGTGGCCTGCCTTATTATTCTGCCAGCTGTTTTAGGCCCCATATTGAGGGTTCTTCCCATTTTCTCTGGTTTGAGGGCAAAGAGCAGGCCCAGCCTGGCAGCAGGAGGCAGGAGTCTTTGCCTTTCTGAGGTCTCCTGGCTTCCTGATCCTCCTACTCCAGAGAGATACAGAGAGTCAGGCAAGATGGGGTTCTTCCCGATTTTGAGACAGAAAAACTGAGGCTTTCCCTTTGACTGGAACTGAAAGGCCCAGCCAAGGGCACCCAGATGGTTGGGGATGGAAGCAGGAGTCCACTCCCAGTTTTCTCCCTTCCAGGCCTGCCAAGAGTGGTGCCCCTGGGCCAATACTGTCACAGCCCAGCCCGCATACCCAGCATCTCAGTGGATGGTTCCCTAGCCCCCACAGGCTGCCACCCCTTTCCTCTCAGTCCCCAAGGCTGTGGCAGCAGTTTGCGAGGAGGGGTGACACAGGGGCCAGTCACGGCTCAGTTCGGGCCCTGCAGCAGGCTGGGAGAGGCCAGAAGGGCACCGAGGAAGCCACCTTTAAGGAAGTATTGGGTCTCAGGGCTATGTGAATGCTCTTGCAATCCTGCACCCTCAGCCTCCTCACCTGCCTCACTGTGGCCTCTGCCCTGCAGCTCCTCCCTGCACCCAAGTAGCTTCCTTGGGGCTGCCGCAGGCTCTGGGCTGTCACTCAGCAGCCCTACCTAGCATCTGACCTTTCTGCCACTGTGGCCCCAGCTGTTGACCTTCCTGCCTGGGAAGAAGATAATGCAATTGGATGCTGGTTCCAGGCCGTCTGGCTCCAGAGCGCTTGCAAGCCCTGCATGCTTAGTAGTCGCCAGAAAGAGGGTCTCCCTGTCACCTCATTCCGTGCCCAGGAGGCTGGGGACACTCACTTCTACGCTACACTAACCGTCCCTCGCGGAGCTGCTGCTTCCTAGCCAGGGAGAAGGCACGCTGGGTGTGGCTTTTCTACTTAAGGCACGTGAACCTCTGCTGCTCTACCTGCTTCCCAGCCACTCAACCCGCTTCGTTCCCCTTCCCCAGTAAGGGGCGCTCTCCTCCCCAAACCAAGGGAAATGAGCTGCTACCCAAATGTCCAAGAAACTTCTGTCTCCCTGCCAGGGCCAGCCCCAAGCTGCGATGACTCAGGGAGATTCCAGGGTGAGGGGAAGCACATAATGACTGATCCATCTCCTAGTTAACAGGTAACCCGCCCCTTCCTTCCCCCCAGGGGAGGTCACTGGGAGTTGCACCCTTACGCAGCTACAGCTGCAGAGGGGCAAGTGGGGAAGAGGGGTCCTGCTTCCTTCCTGGCTTTGCACTGGACTTGCTGGCCAGCAGGAAGGCATGTGGTTCATGCTTGTCCGCATTCCCTCACGCTGTGCCCCAGGGGCCAGCTTCAGGGAAGGCAGCCCTTTGGGCCCAACTATCCTGCAACAAGTCCCGGGTAAGTATGTCTCTCAGAGCCTCCAAACTTGGCCTTTCTTCTCCCTTAGTCCAGGTCCAAACCCCTTGATGACCTCCCACTACCTCTCCCCAGTCCTCCATCCACCCCACCCCACCCCACCCCCCTGCCCCAATCAATTTCTCTGCATTTCTTCTGGGCAACTGAATTGGGCTTCTGGGAATGGGAAGGGATGGATGGATGAGGTGTGAAACTTGGTGTGATTTTGTAGCAAATGGCAGCTCATAGTTGTGTGATCTTAGTTCAAAGTTCTAACCCTCTCTGAGCTTTGTTTTCCTCCTAAGTCAGGGGTAACTCGGGGCTGCTGTGAGGACTGCAGGACACGATGCAGGTGCAGCATTTAGCACTGATACTCGGTTAAGTGCTCCGAAAGTGCTTGCTCTTTTCCGTGCTGAACACCCTTGACATGACAGGTTCTCCCAGAGGAAATGGCCAGACAAGAAAACCTCCGGGGCAGTCTGCACAGCTTCGCTCAGTGCTGGAGCCTTCACACCCTCCCCAGACATGCCTCTTCCCTCTTGCCCAGAGCCACTCTGCTTCCAGCTTCCAGGCCCATCCCCAAAGCCATACGTTTCTCCAAGCAGTCCCCCTCCAGAAACAGCTCTTCCTTTCCTTCCTAAATCCGATTTGTCCTTAGGGTCCAGCTCCAGACACTTCTTCTGGGAAGCCTTCCTGACCCCCTTCATCTCCTGCTCTGACCATCCACTCTTTCCAAGGTGATACCTGCCCATGTCTGTGCTGCAGAGTCCACTCCCCCAGGTAATCAGCCTGAGGCAAGGGTGTGGGACCTGGCCAAGTCCCTGGCCTCCCCTGGTTTTTGACAACTATCAACAGGCAGCTCTCTTAGAGGGTCAGTTTGCTCTAAACGCCACTGCCGCTCAGCCCCAGCAAGTCAGGAGGTGCTTTACTGTTGGCTGAAGAGTGGCAGATGCCAGGAGAGCCCCCTCCTCTGATTACAGTGGTGATCCAGGCAGGTTACAGTCTGCCCGGCCAAGACCTGCAGGGGCTACTCTGACTTCACATCAGCTATAGGCTTCATCTGGGAGATTTTGCGGAGATATTGGGGGGCTGGCTCTGCCTTGTGCTCTAATTATGTCTCCCTGGGGCCCCCCAGGAGCCAGTTCACACTTAAAGGCACTGGACTTAGTTTGAGCTCAAGTCACTGCAGCCGGAGCTCTGCTGGGGCACCTCCAAGCCCCCTCTCTGTGGTTCTGCCCCTCTGACCTGTACTCCTTCCACACCAAAGCAGCAGCCCAAGGACAGGAGTGTCTGCTTCCCCTGAGAGCTCAACCAGTGAGCAGTGGCTGGAGGGCACACCCAAGTCTCCTCCCCTCTGCCCCAGGTGCTGGGTGCCTCCTATTTGTACCACAGACCCACCCTCCTTCTCTCTTCTGCGCCGTGTTCTGGGAGCTGACCCATAGGGCTGCAACAGGGGGTTCTAGCTGGGTCAGATTTAATGGGAAGGCCAGCAGAGACCTAGGAAGCTCGCTGCCAGCCATCTGTCTGCGTTGGCTGGCCTGTCTGCCCAAGGCCACCTGCCTGGCAGGCAGCCCTCTCCGTACAGCTGCCCATCCTGGTGGTGGCCATGTCAGGCGAAGGGGTAGTAAAGGTTCCTCTCACTCACTATCCCCCAGGGTTACTTCACTAACCCTCGTTTTCCTAAACCTCACCCTCAACTTTGTGGAGAGTCCCTCTACTAAGCTCCCCTTAAATGACCAAATTTGAATGTCAGCATTCTCCTACCAGGACCCTGACTAATGCGCCTGTAAGCCCCTCTCTGTGGGCTGGGCTCTCATGAATATCCTGGTATCGCCACCATCACCTTTGTATCCTGCTAAAGTTTAGTGTGCCCAAAATTTTGCCTGCATTGTCTCATTTAATCCTTATATTCACGCTCCTCAGGAGTTATTATTGTTATTCTACTTTTAAAATGAGGAAATAAATGTTCTGAGAAATGAAGGGACATGCCCAACCTTTGAAGTGGCAGAGTTAGGATTTGAATCCAGGTCTGCGGGCTCCAAAGCCTGTGATCCCAACCACCAAAACAGATTGCATTTTCTTTTTAATTATGGGGAAAGTAGTCTTATCACTCCTTCCTTACTTATGAAACTGGAGCAACATGAAAGAAGTCAAGCCCAGAGGTGAAAACACCTGGCCTTTGAGTGAGGCCAGATAGATGGCTCTGTGACCATGCCACCCACTGACACTGAAATCAAGGGAGAATGAGATGGCACATCCTGGAGACAGAGCTGTGCATGGCTGGGCCAGGGCTCTGTAAGCCAGGGCGGAAACCAGATGTCTAAAGGAGGCCGTTCTATGCAGCACAAATGGGTGGCAGGGTTGTTTGGTGGTGTCACGGTGCCCGCAGTTTAGGAGTGGGATCACTTGCTGAGGGGAGCTCGCCTCCAGTATCAGCCCCTTCAACGCAGGCTGCCTGCTGAGTGGGCCACAACGGGGTCCTGGGACAGCTGGGGGACCGCGCTGACCTTCCTCTGGGCCCTTACTACGCAGCGGCAACCCGGATCAGCTCGGTCAACCGCTAGGGGCTAAGTGCAGGTGCCCCATGTGTTCTCACGGTTGTCCTTAAAGTCCTGACCCTGTCGCCGCATCTTGTTCTTGTGGTGCCCTGGTGCCCTGGGACTGACCGGCCTGGCCCGGAGCCACCGCACTGGGCAGCAGAAAAGCACAGTGGCTTGGAATCAGCCAGGCCCAGCTTTAACTCCGCTTCTACCAGGCCCTGCAGCAAGTATCTGGGCGAGTCCCCCGACACCTTAGGCCTCATCTCCTCCTCCACAAGGCAGCGAGGACAGTGCCCCCTTGTAGGAGCTCAGCCAGGGTCAGGAGAAAGAATGGCTGCCCTGCGCGGGACAGGCAGCACCCAGACGGGCTTCCCCCACATTTATGCCAGGTTATGCCATAATCTCCAGCTTTGCACCAGGAGACTTGGGGCGATCGTTAATGGGCACACTGTTCTCCTTGGCTGACACAGCGTTCCTTTGCTCAGCAGGCACGTTTAGTGATCGTCGTGTTGGAGGAATCCTCGCAGTGTTTGGCAACCAGAGCTCTCGTTTGGGGCTGCCCAGGTCCCGCTGTCAAGTCATGCATCACTTTACTAAAGATGAGATGTGGATTTGGGGCATTTTTCTTTTGAAAAATCAATAACTCATTAACAAGGGACTGAATAAAGGGGGAAATGAAAGCCACTTGCCATTCCTGTCGGTCAGCAGGGGGCAGATGCAGGCCCTGCTAAGTGGGGGGGGGGGTCCACTCAGGGTGAGTGGTCTAGTGGACAGTAGGCTTGACTGGTTCCCTCACCCCGACTCTTCCACATACCTGGCCAAGGCCCTCCTTTGTATCAGTAAACACTTCAGTAGGGCCCCATTGCTTGCAGGAGATTCTAACTCTCCCTGGAGATCCCTGCAGCCCCGAGGTCTGCTCAGCCCCACCCCTCCAGCCTTCTCCCAGCTGATCCCTGCCTCACACCCATGCTCCAGCCACACTACATGCCTGCCACGCCCTGAGGGGCTCTGATCTCTCCAGCCTCCTGGCCTTCCTGTATGCTGTCCCCCCTGCCTGGACTGTCCTTCCCCCTCTGCCAGCCTAAATAGCTCATGCAGCTTCTTCGAGCTCCCGCAAACTTTCCCTGAAACCTTTGGCCACTGCCCTCACCCCTACAGGGACATTGGATCCACCACCTGGTGCCAGCCCCTGCCCTGGCTCATGACCCACTGCTGACTTGCCTGGGAGAGGGAGGCAGGGACTGTACCTGGTGATCCCACCTTCCTAGTGCCCGGGTTGTTGCCTGGCACAGAGTTGGTGTCAGAGGGTGCTCGCTGGGTGAGAGGTGACATTAGCATCAGATGCCCTCCTCCTTGCTAGTTCCCCAGGTGGCCTCAAGTCAGGCTGGGAGTGATGTCTGCACCCCCCCAAATAACCCTCCCTCCTCTGGAGTCCAAGCCCTCAGGGGTCCTCCTTCCCCTACTAGTGCGAATATTTGGTGTGTGAATCTCATAATAAAAGCTAACAACCAGCACTTGTTAAGTGCCAGGCGCTAGTCTGTGCATTTTACGTATATTAACTCATTCCTAACCACTCCATAGGAGGCAGGAGCTACTGTTGTCTCCATTTCATAGATGAGAAAACAGCAGAACCAGGGGCAGAAGAGCCCAGCTTCAGACCAGGCCAACTGGCTGTAGAGGCTGCGTTTGTAATCACAGCCCTCTCCATTCTGGGGGTGTTTGTGGGGAGCTTGGGGCTGGGGGAGACAGCCCGGAACACCCCCTGCACGGGGACAGGGCCTCAGGGCTGGCTCTGCAGCTGGGATGGGCCACGGGTCCAAGGAGCTCCAGTTACAGGAAACTGCTTATTGGGGCCCAGTTGCCTGGGATCCCTCATTCCCTCCCTCGCAGGTTCTCTGCCCTGTGCTGCTGCTCGCCCACTCCTTCACCGTCTCTACAGAGAGCAGAGCCTCTGGCCCTAATCTCATTTGAGGCCATGAAATCGCATTTGCAGTGTATTAATGCAGCGTGGAGCTGGCCTGGCCCTGCTTGTCTCTTGGAGAAGTGGGGTCTGGAAAGCAATCTCACAGGGAGGCACCTCCCGGAACACCCGCAGACAAAAAGCAATTATGCTTTAAGAGGAAGATTAAAATAATATCCACCCCCCCCACCATCCCACCCGAGGGCCTCAGCTCCAAATGGCCCACACCCCCCACACCTCCCAACGATGATTCATGGGCTATCCTCCTGCTGCAGTGAGGGGTGGGGCACACCCAGCCCCCTCTCTCCCTGGTGTGTCTCCATGGCCGGCTGCTCACTTGCCCTCATACTCACCACCCTTTGCCATCCCCTGAGTTCCGGAAGAAACCATGCTCTCTCAAGCCTCTGGGCCTTTGCCTAGGCTGCTCCCTCTGCTTAGACTCCGCCCTTCAACTTGTCTCCCTGGCAACCTGCCATTCCCTCCACGTGATGATCATGGCTAATCTTTGGTGAGCATTTAGTATATTTAAATTTACTGCACATTCAATTGAACAACCCTGTCAGGAGAGTATTATCATCAGCCTCATTTTATAGATGAAGAAAGAAGGCACGGAGAGGTTGAGTCCCATAGCTGGAAGGTGGCAGAGCAGGTACAAAGTAGAAATTCTCATCCTTTCATCCAGGGTAGGCCTCGCTGCTTCCCCTTGACATCCAGTGACTGCTGTGGTCTCAGTGTGGCATCTTGTCTCCCGGAGAGGCCAGGCCTGGCACAGAATCAGGGCTTAAACACTTCTTGCCTGGAAGAACTGACATGCCTCCTGGTAGGGGTAGCAGGGGTGTGCATGTGTGTCCCACTCTTGCCTCTGAGGCTGAATCTGTGGTGCCTGTCAGTTTATCTGTATTCTGGAAGTCTGTGGAATTCCCTCTCCTCCAGGAAGGACTCTTGGACTTCAGTCAGGCTAGCATATTGTGGGGAGTGGGCTATCTATGCCCTTCCCCCACTTGCTGATGTGGCGGGAATGGAGAACAAAGAACATCCTGGTCACGCATTCCATGAGCAACTAACGGAACTCTGCTGAGCCTACCTCTGCCCGGTTACCGCTGACGTCAATACTGTGCTTGATTGTCTATTGGACAATGCTATGTCCTGGAATCATGTAACCCCACTGCATTATATAAACCCTGGACCTTCAATAAAGTTTTGCTGGCGACGCAAAGGAGCGTCAGTCCTCCCCACCTCTCTCGTGTCCTTTGTCCAGGTCTCCTCACGTCCTTTGGTAGCCCTGTTCGACTGTTGCGGCTGGGCCGCGACAGCATATTATTTAATTCTCACAACCACACTGCAAAGTAGGCATCATTATCCCCATTTTACAGAGGAGAAAACAGAGGGTCAGAGAAGTGAAGTGACTTGACCAGGAACACCTGACACAAGGCAGAGCAGAGATCTGAATTCTTACCTGAGTTCAAAGTCTGGGCTTATCCACAATACTTTCCTGGCTATAACACTCTTCACCTCAGACAGGGTAGGTAAGGGCTTAATTCTGTGCAGGAACTATTTATGAAACACTGTTTTCTAAGCACCATCCACCAACCCGAGTAGGCCAGGGGGTTTGCCTGGGGACTCAGCCACTGACAGCCCCAATTTCATCCCCAGTCTGGCTCCCAAAACACCCCGTACAATGAGCAGTCTTTGTTGTAGTCAGCTTACGCTGGGTGATCCACCTTCGCTGGACTTGGGGGGAAACGGGACCACCCAGAAGAAATCTGTTCCCCCAAACTGCTTCCCCATGAGCCTGTCCCATTGCCTAGAAAGTCCATTAAAGCACGAGTCTCCCTGGGGAAGAATGCTACACGTCATCCCCACCTCTGTGCTGAGTACTGTAGCAGAGAAACCAAAACATATGGGGGAAACCTGGATTCCAGCCTGGCTTTGTTAGTGACTCATTGAGAATTAAGCCATTTATCAACCCTAGGGTTTCAGTTTCCAGCTCGAGAAAGAGGATGTATGTATCAAGGCTACCCTGGCGCCTCTCAAGATCCATACAATGCTCCAAGGGGCTTTGCAGGTGCCCCCTTTGCCCTTTGCCAGTCTGGCTCTGAGCAGCCTGGGCAGGAAGGGGAGAGCAAAGGGCTCAGAGGTCACGGGGCTGGCACCTCCTTCCCACTCACTTGGTATCCCCAGCAACTCCTCCCTCCCCCAAACACGCTCTCTCCACCTCATCGTTTCTCCCTGCTTGGCTGTTCCCTCATGCACCTCCACATTCCTGCTTCCCTACTCTCTACCAGAAACCTGCCTATTCTTTGAGGCAAGAATCCCACGTGCCCTGACATTTGTGAGATGGGTTTTAATGAACCAAACAATTTCCCACCCTTTTCCTCACCTGAGCCTCACAACCTCCCTGTCAGTAGCTACTGCTCTGCCCACTGTATAGATGAGGAACTTGAGGCCCATGGAGGTAAGTGATTTGGGAAGTCATACAGCTCTTATGCAATTGCAAAATGGGGTATAAAACCAAGGTGTTTTGACTCCCAGCCAGAACTGGTTTTCCTACAGCACTGATAACCACCCAGCTCATGCCCATCCCTCCCTCCCCAAGGAAAGTCCTCCAATTACCCCTATTTCTTTTTCTCACACAGCCAGGTAGCTCCCCAAGGGCTGGAGAATACAGCTCCCTTGTTTACTGCTAGGGGAGTGGATGGATGGACAGAAGGATGAACACCTTGGGCCAAGGGGGGTTGGACCACTGGACTCCAGGGCAGGCTGTCAGATGCTGATGGAGGAAGGGTGTTTGTTCCCTACTTACCCTCCATCTGTCCTGGGAAGGGGCTGGTCCCTGCTGGCCTCAGCTGCTCCTATGCTCAGCGACTCTGAAGAATTAGTCCAGGACCCAGGTTCGGGTGTGCTGGCTACTCCTGCTGGGCCAACCCCTAACCAGGGCAGGCCACTTGGGTGCTGTCCACTTTCCTTCCCTGCTGCCCTCCCCCACCCGCTGTTCCATTAAAATCAGTTATTAAACATTGGTTTTGCATGGGGTTTTAATGTCCCCTCGTACATCACATGTACCATGTCCTTCTCCTCTAGCAGAGGTGCACTTGGGGGATATAATACAGAGATAAAGCCAGGAGGGCCCCAAGGAGATGCAGGTCTGGGTGAGGGAGAGTGCGCACCCGTGTGGCCATCACTGAGTCGGTGTGGACGGATCTTCGTGATGGAGCAGTGGTCTCTGCATGTCCAGGATGGGGTGGTGGGCCTGTGTGCCTGCATGTGTGCATCCCTGTGAGTCCATGCGCCTGTGAGGGTGCCCATGTGTGTTCTGGAGGACATCTACCTTCCAGATGTGTGGGTGAAGGAGAAAGGGGATATGACCCTCAAAGGCCACAATAACTGGACCCTCGCTCCCCTCTAGGGACAGTAGGAGGAGAAGGAGAGGCCCACCACAGTTCCCTCCCCTGGAGCCCTTCAGCTTCTCTTTGGGGCTGGGCCCAGGCCAGTTGGGAGGACACCAGAGGTGGGCGCCCTCTTTCTCTCCCTCTCCCCCTCAGCACCACACACACATCTCTCTCTCTCTTACCCACACGCACCTCCAGGAGGTGTGAGTCAGTAGGACCCCCTGGCTGGAGCTGGGAAGGCAGAGTGGGGGAGGGGCAGCAGGGCCATCTGGTGGGCTTGGTTCCAGCAATCTGTTAATGGAGCCTTTTCCCAGACTAGCACCCAGGCTGAGCCAGCCTTCTCCACCCTGAAACTGGTACCTGGATCCCAGAGACAGCGGGGCTCACCAGTTCCCAATACCCCTCCCCTGGGTGGCTGGCTAGGCAAGAAGGAGCAGTCCTATTTTATAGAAGCAGACATCGAGGCCCAGACCCCATCTGCTTTGCCCAGTGTGTGCATCCCAACTCATTACTAGAACAGCAAGCATTTACTGAACACTTCCTGCAGGGCTGGGCTAACTGTAGGTTCACACATTCAGTCTTCCCAGCAATGAATGACACAGGAATTGTTCTCCCCCAGGCTGGGCTAACTGTAGGTTCACACATTCAGTCTTCCCAGCAATGAATGACACAGGAATTGTTCTCCCCCACATTACAGACGTGGAAATGGAGGCTGAGGGAAGTTTTGTAATCTACACAAGGTCACACAGCTACTAAATAAATGCCAGACACTGATCTGAACCCAGGTCCACTCGCCCCCAATATGCCTGCTTCTCACTGTAAGCTGGCTGAACCCCAACCCTCTCCTAACCCCCTCCATGCTGAGCTCCAGGCACTGACCCTCTAGGACTCCAGATGACTTGGAAATCAGGCAGGGTGATGGCGAAGGAACCAGGTTGGGAAAGCACAAAATATGGGGCCCTAAACTTAGGTCCTCTCAGGTCTTATCTACTAGGCCCTGTGACCTCTGCAGTCCCCTTCAGAGACTTCTGGCCGGCAGGGCAATTGCGGTACCTGCAGCCTATGGCCTTTCTCCTCCTGATGGGGCTGGTCATGTCCCCCACCTTGCCAAGCCTGGGCCAGCATTAGCCAGCACCCCCGCCTCTCCCGCCAGCCTAGCTGCCCCCTTGGTGACACATCTGCACCCCTCACCCCTCTTTGCGTGGGTGACAGCACTCTCCAGATAGGCTTGACAGTGTCTTTGTTCTCCTGAAATAAAAGAAAATTGAGCTACAAAGAGAAACCTCAGGTAGCTTTTAAAGGGGCTCAGCTGCCTGAGGCAGAGTGTGTTTAAGCTGGAAGCGGTTGTCACAAGAGCAGGAGGGGGACCTGCCCGCGTCCCCTTCCGGGCCCCCCTTGCCCCGTGATCCGTGATTGAGTTTGCTCAAGGAAAAGGCTCTTCCAAATAGAGACAAAGGAGAAAATCAATGGAAATTGATAGAGAAATGTAAAGCAGCTGTGTGTGTGTGTGTGTGTGTGTGTGTGGTGTGTGTGTGTGTGTGTGTGTGTGTGTGTGTGTGTGCGCGTGTGTGTGCATGTGTGTGGTGTGTGTGCGCAAAAGCCTGCTGCCAGGATCCAGGCTGACCGGCTCAGGGCCCCACACTAGGGAGGGTGGGCGGCTGGGAGTCACTCCCGGCACGTGCCAGTGGAGGGGCCCTGGCGGCTGGGGGAGGGGCAGCAGCCTAGTCTCTCACTCCAGTTAAGAAAGAGATTAATATATTCAATCCTCTCAGCGTAATTGAGGGAACAATAGGAGTGTTTTTCTAAAGCCCATAAAACTGCCTCATTTGCAAGGAGGAGCTGACCTGCCATTTCCTCTGCATTTGATGGAGCACAGGAAGGGAAGAGAGGGGGGCAACACTTGGGACCCCACTATTGAGGAACCGGGCCTTAGCCTGGGAGGGGGCTAGCTGTCCTGGTCTAACCTGTTCTTAACTTTCCCACCTGCCCCCACTTTGTTAGCAGCGGTCCAAACATTGCTTTCCAGAGCCTCTGTTTCCCCTCCTGTGAATTGGGCTACGGCACCCCCTCCCAGGAGAGGGGGAGGGTGCGGCAGAAGAGGAGGCTTCGCTAGGTGGGAGTCTGGCTCCAAGGAAGAGGGGCAGGAGCAAAGGTGCCCAGTGCCCCCGCCACAGCTCCCCATCCCCACCCTGAGATGAAATGGGCAGTAAAGTTAATGGCATCCGTATTGTGTGCCTTTCCCTGCTTGAACCATTCCGGTCTCCTGGGCAATAGAATAGTGTACCCAGTCGCGGGCAATAAAAGGCATAATGAATTTAAAAGCAAGGCAAAGATGGGAGGAGAGTGAAAACGTGGGGCTCGTGGGCCCCAAGGCAGGAGGCTGCCTGGGGCAGGGACAGGGCAGGCCCCGAGCTCCAGTAGAACCGGGACCAGAGACCACGGAATCGGAGTGGGGCTGGACGAGGGGCGGGAGAAAGGGGAGAGAAATGGGGACAGGGAACAAAGGGAAAGAGACACAGAGACGGGGGTGTAGGGACAGGGGCAGAGGGCCCTAGGAGTCAGGGACCGCTCTGTTTCCCTCCACTTCTTAGTGACAGGCCCCCAGCCTGCGTTGCCAAAGTCACAGCAGCATCTACAGGCTAAGAGCCAAGGCTCAGCACTTGGTGATTGCTTTCCTAGCTGTTTCTTCTCTTTTTTTCCCCTCCAGGGCAAAAAAAAAAAAGGTGTTTCAAATGGAAAGAATGAATAAAAAAAAGACCCTTGAAAGCGCCATTTAAAAGGCTCCTGGGGAATGGAACCGTTTCCTTGAAACAAAACTGCGATTGTTTGGAGGAGGTAAATAGTGGGGGGAGTGGGAGAGGAAGCCCACCACACCCCTCCTCCTGCCCACGCTGCTCTGCGGGAGGGAGCACCAGGGCCCAGAAGGAAGGAGTCCTCACCATGCCTCCCAGGGCTACAAACTAGGAATTTTTAAGTCCATGTTTCCAGAAATTTCAGCACTGGGAATTTCCAGCCCAAAGTTTCACTCTTAAACAGCTTTGTCTGTGGGAAGTCCTAAAATCTCCAGGATCTCTTAGAGAGGTGAGTGGGGTCCCGGGAGGGATGTAGCCCCCGAGGGGCCTGCATTTCCAGGCCCAAGGCGGCTGTGGACTCTCCCTGTCCTGCTTAGTCCCCTAGGAGGCCTCATTCACCCTTACAAAGAGTCCAGCTGGCGTCACCTCAAGTTGGCCCAGCAGCCGGCCTTTGGCCTGCGCTTTGCTGCTTTCCTCCAGCACTGGACAGGCCACCCTTGTTTTAGTCAGATAAATTCTCTCTAATCCCGGGGAAGCAGCACCTTGGGGGTGCTGGGGTGGCACAGCCAATGTGGTCTCCAGCCTGTCAAGAGGTGAAGGAGGCAGTGTCAGGGGACAAGATGAGTGTGGTGGGGCTCTGCCCGCACAGGAGTCCCCATTTGGAGGGCCCGCCGCCCCCTGCAGAAAGCAGGAAACCTGGAGCCGCTCTGTCCATGCGTGGTTAGCTCCCCTCTGCAGCTCCGGGCTGCCTGTCCCAGTCCCCCCATTTACGGGCCAGGGGCCGAAGGAGTGATCTCTACCCTGGAGTCTGACTGTATGTGCTGGAAACATTCATGGGGGATAAGTCCGTCACCCCGCCACCCTCCCCACCCGCCCACAGGCGGCAACTTACAGACTGGAGAAGGGAGGGTTCCCTGTCCATATGATGTGAGCTCAGGGGAACTAACTGTCCTGGCAGAGTCTCCAGTGTTCTGGGAATGGCCATTTTGGGAGTAGTGTGGCCATTTAAGGCTGTGGAACGCGTGGGCCACGGCTGAGAAGCAGAGCTAGTCAGATTCAGAGTCCCCGTGGCACAGTGCACACCAAGCCCTGCCCCCTCCCTGCTCGTTCTCAGTCATTCATTAGTCACTCCTTAATCTCATCCGCCCCCCCCCGCCGGCCCCCCTGCCCATGCTGATCCCGCTCCTTACCCCAAGACCATCATCAGTTCTGGTCTTTAAAAAAATGGCACACCAGTTGGGGGACGACTTGTGAGCTTACGATAGAATTCTAAATCGAATAGATTCAGTGATTGAGATGCGTGATGCGGACAGGACTGAGGATCGTTTGGATGGGACAAAAAATCGATGCAGGGAAGGCTTCCTGGACGAGGTGGCCTTCAGTTTATTCATTGGCATCTGGAGCCCACAAGTCCATTCCTGTCCTCAACTGACTGTCGCTGACGTTGGGCCACACCCAGGCCTGCAGCTTTGTCCCCTCCATCCCTCTTGCCCTCTGCCTTCCCCTCACCCCACTGACTCACCTTCTGCCCCCTTTCTCTTCCTCCTCATTTCAGAACCAAAGAGGACTGGGTTAAGTCCTACTCTTCTGGGCTGCATTTTCCCTATCTGCAAAGAAGGGAGGGATGATGGTTTCAAGGGTCCCTGTGGCCTTGGCTACATCTGCATCCCTAGGCTGGGAGGGGAGCCTGAGGCCCGGTCTGCCCCAACAGCCCAGTCTTGCCGCTACCTTCCAGCTGTGTCTTTGAGCCCCAGAGACGTGCCGCCCTCCTCAGGCCGAACTGTTGGATGGGTTCATCTGAACCGAAAGAAACAGCCCCTCTATTTTCTGAAGGACCCCTCTCCATTGTCTGTACCCCCCTTGCTTTGGGGCCCTGTTGTCAAGATTGTGATTGCTGACCCCCCCAGGAGGGAAGTGATTTTCCTCTCCCTTGAAAGCCATTTTCTTGTCTTGGTAGAAGCAGACATCTGACACGTTAAGAGGGAGAATGTCAGGGAGCTGACGGCATTAAGTAACAGAAATTAGAGCTGTTGAGGATGTGGCTCAGCCCTCTCAAGGCCTCGCTTCCCTACAGCGGCCCCATTCCTCCCCTCCCTCACATTCACTCAGAGCTGCAGCCTGCAAAGAACTGTCTGCGTGGCCCCTAGCTCAAGGTGGCATACAGGGGCCTGGAGGGCAGGGGAATACTTCTCCCTGAGCTGTGAGTCTCTTGTGTATCCAGTCCCGTGACAAACCCCAGGCGCTGGAGTCAGGGATCTTGCAGTCTGAGGGAAGAGCACGTCATGGAGGAACCTGAATATCATCCGTCTCACTTAGAAATTCACCAATATATCCTTAGCACCATCCCAGGGCTGGGCGTACAGTGGATGGTCAAAAGCATTTGTTAATTGACTGACTAATGAATGAATGAATGAACAGAGGCCAAAGTGGTCCATGTAACAGGCTGAGACCTGGGCAGAAGAAGCTGGTGCCTGGATCCCTGGTTCAGTTCTCCTGGCAAAAACTGTCAGATCATGGTCCGGACTGCAGCTCAGACTGGGTGTTTCTCCGGCACAACCCCCTCCAGCAGTCCCCCATTGCCTCCTGAACTGAATATATATCTGGCTCTTTAGTCACTGCACTGATTCCCTCCACTTTCTCCCATCCACCGGCCCTCTCTGAGCCTACCACGTCTGCCCTGCACCAATGCCTGTGGGAGGGGGGCACCACCGCAGGAAGGCCAGGATCCTTTGGCTGTGAACTTGTGGCTCCAACCTCAGCTCAGTGTCCCACTGACAGCTGAACCTTCTCCTCCTGAGCCATCTTGTCCTGGGCCTTCCTCCTCGAAGTCCAGCATGGACATCCCTAAATCTTATCACCTGGTGTGGGGTCTGACAGAGTCAGCACTTAAGGAATGTTTGATGGGTGAATGAATGGGTAAGTGAGTGAGGAACGAATGAATTAAAGATTCATCTCAAATGACATCTCTTCTGAAAGCCTTTCCTAGGCTCCAAAGCCCGAGGGCACATGCTGTCACCAGAGCGCTCCTTCCAGCGCATGCCCTACAGAACCGCGTGCTGCCCACATCATGCCCGACTGTCTTCGTGTCAGGTGGCACCCTGAGCTCAGGGACTGACCTAGCTTTGGGTTACATGCACTGTTGTGCACTAAGTTCCCCAGGAAATGTTGGCATTCAATGGAATCAAGCAATTTGGGGATGATCCTCAGTTTCTCCACTGTGAAATGGGCTGCCAACTGCTCTACTGGCTCCCACCTAGACTGGCTTTGAGGCCCACCAGACGCACTGCCTGATGGCAGAACATGGCCACACTGGGGAATCTTCCTACAGCTTGGATAAGGATGAGGCTCCCTCACTGAGCCTGAGGCTGCCAGGGTCCCTTCTGGCCATGGTGGGAGGTGGATGGGCTGGAGGGTGGGTGCACAGAGATTTCTGTCTTGCGGTCACCTGGGGCCTCCCTCAAAACCTGGTGTGATTGTGCAAGGTTGGGTTTGTTTGGGGATTGAAGTCTCTCAGGATACACTCACCTGCTGGGCAACAGAAACCCTGCCTGGTAGTGTCCCTGCTCTGTGTGGCCTTTCCTCCCTTCAAACCGGAACTCCCTGTTTCCACAATCAGATTGTACCTTCTCCAGAAGCAAATGAGGCTGCGGTGGGAAGTTCTGCTGCTCTGCTCAGTGAGGGTTGGGGGTTGCCAGAGATGCTGGGTCTTCTATTTGGGGGCAATGATTGCCAGAACCTGACTTGGGCCCAAGGAACACTTACCTGCAGCCTGGGCAGCGGGGGCTCTGGCCATGGTGACTCTGGTGGGCTGGGCCCCAGAGGGCTGTTTGAGGTGCGAGGCTGAGGGACCCGTGCACGCGGAAGGCCACGCTGTAAGCCAGGCCCCCGCAGTGGCGGGCAGTGGGGTCTGTACTGGCACGGAGCAGAGCCAGGCTGCCGCAGTAGCGATAGAGGTCCTTGTGCTCCTGAGCTGAAAGGTTCATGCGGGGTTGGTCTGGGCGTGGGTAGATGGGGAAGATGGCCTCGCCCACACGCCAGACCTCACTTCCTGAGGCCCCGCCCAGCGTCAGGGCCTCCACCCGCAGCTGTGCATCGTGATGTCCATCGTTCTTGCAGAACCCTGGGTGGGGGAACGTGGGGTTCAGAGATGGTCCCTGGGGTCTCCCCGATTCCCCTAGCCAGTGGATAGGACAGACAAGGCCCTCGGGAAACCTGGGCTGCCACGCCTCTGAGTCGTAGCCAGGTTGGCTAAGATTTCCCTGTGGATGGCCCCCTTTCAGCACCCTCCTACGCCCTCCTTTTACCAATGCAGGGAAGGGTGGGCTCTTAGCTTGGGGGGTGGTCCTGAGGCCCACCACTCAGATGAAGAGGTCAACCTGCTCCTGGTCTCCGGTAGCTGATGGCCTGGGACTTGGTTTCTCCATTCCCTCACATCCCTCTTCTTCCAGGAAGATTGCCTGGATTCTCTCACAGCCTAGTCATGGATCTTCTGCTCTTTCCAGATCACTTAACTATTCTCTTTGGGTTTCCTGCCTCTCCACCTGATCTGGAAACTTCTAGATGACTAATGTGACATCTAGACGACTGGCTCCCAACCTGCTGTGTGCTCAGCTTTTATACATTCACAAAGGCATTCCTCATGTGTCCTTTCATTTCCTCCCCATCCAACCTTTGTGACCACCGTCAGCATCCCTGTGTCACACTGAACGAGGCTGTGGCTCCCAGAGGGCCAGTATTCGCCCAGGGTCACACAGGCAGAGCTTTGGGATTCAGTCCAGAGCTCTGACCCTTCCCCTCCCGGTTTCCAGGAGGCCCCCAGGGTCCCTGACAGGGACTGGGGCAGGAGTTGGAGGATCCTTCTTTCCCCACCAACCCTTACTTCATACCTTTGGGTAAAGTAAAGACAAACTTATTCCTGGTGAGGGTGAGGCTCTGGCCAGGATCCTGCTGCTCAACGACATTGGTAACAGCAGAGCAGATAGGGAGTGTCTCCCCGTCATTCACCTGCAACTGCACCCCAGCCCCAGTACTGGCCTGCAGGGGGTTCTCAGCGGAGAGCCGCAGGGCGTATCTGCCCTCCTCATTAAACCCCACACTCAGTACCGTGAACTCCAGGTCCGGCGTCTTTTCCTCGGTCTTCAGCCTCTGGCCCAGCAGGGAGGTAGGGACCCAGGGTTCAGGCCCCCCGAAGGCCATGGCTCTGTCAGGGACTGACTCCCAGGCTGAGCACTGCCTCTCCCCCCACAGTCCCAGCCTGGGCCTGGGCTGAAAGCCTACAGGCTGGGAACCCTGGATCACACTCCATCCCTCTGTTTGTTTGAGGAGAAACCAGGCAACGAGCCAGGAAGCTGGGCCTGTCCTGGGGAACAAAGGCAGCCATTGGTCCCTCCCTTTTAGTATTTGTTCATTCAACAAACATTTATTGAGCATCTACTATGTTCTGTGTGCTATGTTAGGCATTTGGAATGTAGCAGTGAACCAGACAGAGATTCCTGTCCTCCTGAAGTTTATCTTCTAGTGGAGGAAGGAGGAGGGACAGATAAAAATAAACACTAAATATAGGGGATAAGTAAGTTATAATGTATGCTAGAAGATGGTAAATTCTATGGAGAAAATCAGAGCAGGTCATAGATTAGGAATACTGGTATGGGGAGCATATGGGCAGGTATGAGGTAATCACGACTTCCCATTTCTGGGAAAGCCTGACTCTACATGGCTATTTATTCTCAGTTCTTGAGTAATTTGCCAGGATTGGGGGGTTCTCTCAAGGGAGGTGGGACAGTGTCTATTCCTTGGGAGCATGGCCTTAGCACCTGCTTCTGGAATCAGTTTACCTTCTTAATCAAAACTCACAATATGGGGCAGAGCTTTACCTTACAGAGAGCCCAGAGATTCTCACACTGAGCAGTTGTCAAGCTAGAACCCATCCTTTCTGATCCTAGGTCTTGCTGACACCCAGTGGGAAAAGGGAGATTCTGAACACTCAGTGAGAACCATCTCTGTCATTAGCACTATCACCACCATGTTGCCATCTCTGCCACCACCACCACCACGCTTATTACCATCACCATTGCCACCATTGCCACCAACACCAAACCAATACCACCACCACCACCCTTACCACCACTGCCACCACCACCACCACCATCGTCACCCTCATTTATGCTACTCTTCACTGAGCAGCTGCTGGGTACCAGGCACGCTGTATGGCTCTGTGAGGAAGAGAGAATTATCCTCATTTTATAGATGAAGAATCTGAGAGAATCTTGGATCACATGGCTAGTAAGAAGCGGAGCTGAGGTCTGAACCTAGGGATTCTAAGTCTATCTATACTTTGCTCTACTAAACATGTCCTGGGACTGGCTCAAAGATTTGAATTCATACTATTAGGGACTTCCGTACCCTAAAACTATAGAAGTACACTTCTGAGTCTAAAAATCACATTTGTGGACAGCATAGATTTCATTCAAAAGAGTTCATGTGAAGTCACCTTGACTTGAATGCATCATTTTCATAAAGTAAAAGATAACCAGTCTAAAGATGGTATTGGTTAGCCCAGCTAAGGGCCCCATTGTACGTGGTAAGCTTCCTCTGCTATGATTAAAATTCAGCCTCTTTAGATTACCCAAGGAGAAACTGAGGCAAAAGTGTTTAGAAGACCAGAGCTCTAGTTACCCAACTTGCTGGTGAACTTGGGCAGATCCCTTTCCCTCTCCCCGTGTCAGTGGCCCCATCTGTATGGCGACTGACTGGGAGTCAGGTGGATCAGTCCGCCCTCAGCTCTGACAGTCTGAAACTCTGTAAGTCATGTTGGGAAAGGCCACAGGCTGGCCGTTTGCGGAGGAGGGTGTGTGTCCAGGGCTTCCTGGAAAACTTTGCCTCAACAGCTGGGCTGGCCAAACCAGCCTGGGACAAGGGCCATGATTCGCCTCTGCTAGGTCTGACGTCTTGGAGATTCAGTGATCTGGTAGAAGCAGCGCACTTCCCTTGCATGTTTGAAGTGACCCCGGAGATCTTACAGGGTCGGAGTCCGTCGCTTTTGCCCAAGGGCCAACCTCTGTGCACTGCACCCAGGCCCGCACACCTGCAAGCAGGCCCCAGGAGCACAACTGTTCTTCCCAGTCAGTTTATCCCAAGCCCCTTACTGCTTCCCTCTCCCTACTTCCTTTTGTGTTACAAAGGATCCGAGGTCATTGTGTTGGCCTTAGCATGGTTTAGGAGCTGTCTGCGTCTGACTCGGTCTGTTCTTCCAGCACCCCCTCCCCAACT